TCCTTCAAAACTTTGCTCAAATTGTATCTACACAGTGAGACCAAGCCTGACCACCTTATTAAATACTACAACTTTACTTTGCTCAACTTTGACTTTTTTATGGCACTTTTCACTTATTAAACCTATATTACTTACTTATTTATTATATTTACTGATTATTGTCTGTATCGCCCCGTTAGAATCCAAACTCCGCAATGGAGAGATCTTTGCCTCACCTACTCAGAAACACATTCAAACATCTAGAATAGCGCTTGGCAAATGTTTTTTAAATGACTGAATTGTATTTTCAGTAGAAATCTAAGTAATATGAAAAACTGAACACTTCCTAATATATTTATTACCCTTAAAACTTATCCCCTGATGAATCTTGGTCACTTCAGTAATAACTAAGATACCCCTAACTATTTCTGTGGTACTTACTCTTAATCATTTATAACCTGCTTTGCTTTTTATTTTTAATTTTTTTTAATGTTCATTTATTTTGAGGGAGACAGAGATTATGAGCAGGAGAGGGGAAGAGAGAGAGGGATACAGAGAATCCCAAGCAGGCTTCACACTGTCAGCAAAGAGTCTGATGCGGGGCTCAGACTTAGGAACCGTGAGATCATAACCTGAGCTAAAACCAAAAGTCAGACACTTCACCCACAGAGCCACCCAAGCACCCCATTACGCTATTTAAAATAAGATGTCTTCACTTAACAGAAGACTCTATTTATAACTGTGCTTACAGTCGGAGATTCTTTTAAATTTTTTTTTTTTCAACGTTTATTTATTTTTGGGACAGAGAGAGACAGAGCATGAACGGGGGAGGGGCAGAGAGAGAGGGAGACACAGAATCGGAAACAGGCTCCAGGCTCTGAGCCATCAGCCCAGAGCCTGACGCGGGGCTCGAACTCACGGACCGCGAGATCGTGACCTGGCTGAAGTCGGACGCTCAACCGACTGCGCCACCCAGGCGCCCCTCAGTCGGAGATTCTAATCCCAGTCTCCCAAGGGCCAGTGTCCTCTAATTCCCAGTTTGACATCTTTGCAAATGCATGTACATGCTTTCCAAATGCTTTTTAAAAAAAAAAATCAGCACATTCAGAATACTGATATACAGAATATTCTACTGAGAAAAAAGGGGAATGCTATTGAGAGGACGTCAGAAGATGGACTGGTAATATTTTACTTCTTCAACTGGATGATAGGTATCCAGATGTTGGCTTTATTATTTGTTATAATTAACATATGCATTATACACCATCTTTTGTATGCATGAAACATTTCATAATGAAAAAGGACAAAATAAACCTAGTCTAGCTTACTTGTTCTACTACCGCTCTTTATTTTTCTTCCAGTTTGATAGGATATAGCTCCCTGGACATAAATCTTCTAGCCGGTTTGTGGAAACATAATTGCCGTGTGACTTAGCATTTAAACCCTCTCCCTGCCCACAACCACCTTACTAATGAGTCTGTGATGTGAAACCAAATCAGAAAGACCTCCAGTAGAAATTTAAAAAAAATATATACTCACTGCTTCATTGATTTAATCAACCTGGTGAGCTATCAAGAGGGATGAGCATAAAGATAAAAATGAAAACACGTGATGGCTGCCAAAGCAGAATTAATTTTTCAAAAAACATATATAAATATAATAACTTCACAACTGATTATAATATCCTGTCTTCCCACTGTTGCAAGGCAAGTTCCTTGGTTATCTTAATTTCATCCTCCCTGTACCCACTGTGGTACAGGGATCTCATATGTGCTTCCACAGCACCTGACTCTGGTCATGTGTAGAACTGTACCCATTCATGTCCCCCCTTTCTAGGCTAGAAGAGCACTGAGCAAAGGGCCCATGTTTTTTCACCTTTTGAGCCCTGTCCCTGGTACAGCTCCTAGGGGGTGCCGTATGAGACTAGCTCAGTTCAAAGGTCAGCTCTGCTTCTTATCCTCTGCGTAAGCTTCTTAACCAATCTTCAGAAAATGTTTGGAACCTGCATCACGAATTCCAGCTTCAGAGCATGTGCTGAGAAGGTGCGGTCCCTTGGAATGGTGCTGTATCTCTGCCTGCTCATGCCTCAGGGTTGGTACCAACAGAGCTCCCTGGGTCAGGGGCTTGTGACATTCTGATGGCATAACCCACAAGTGGAACTGCTATATCTGCACATTTAGCAAATGCTTTTTGAGTCCTAACTATGGTGCCAGGAATTTGGCTAGACAATGGGGATGCTGTGGTGGCAGGTCACATTCTCTAGTCCCTAGAAGCTGTCCACAGGCCCTCCCTTGTTACTGTGCATGTACAACCTTAGCCCCTTAAATTGATTATGGCTTATTCAATGCCATTCTTCAATGCTGCTGTTCTCTCTTCTCAAGAGAAATCTGTTAACTTTTCCAAATAGCAGTTTCCCCTACAAATCATGTTTCTCATAACTGTAATACAGAAAAACATGACTATACAACCAGTGTGAGCTATACCCTCAATCTAACACCTCAAATCCTGGCATTTATGATGTACTTCAATTTGTAATAATTGCTTAAACTTTAAGCTACTTGCCACAGAGGATGACAGAACTGACATAAAATATGGGCATATTTAAGGGTGCCTGGGTGGCTCAGTTGGTTGAGTGTCTGACTTCAGCTCAGGTCATAATCTCATGGTTGGGGAGTTTGAATTCCATACGGGGCTAGCTGCTGTCAGCTTGTCAGCACACAGCCTGCTTCAGTCCCCTTCTCTCTGCTTCTTCCCCACTTGTGTTCTCCCCCCAAAATAAAATAAAGTTTAAAAAAATACTTAGACACATTTACATCCTAAAAAATTAACTATGTTAATAAGAATTGTTCTATTTCCAGGTGAGAATTACTAAGATCATTCTATTGCCTATAAAATAAACTAAGAGGTCTTTAGCATTGAAAATATTTTGGTGTGATAAACTCTGAAATGCCAACTTAATTTATATAAGATTTATGGACTCACTGAAAGGTTTTGGGCATAAAAATAATTAAAATAAGATGGAAGAGGATTAGAAGTAAATGAAAATAATAATGCTTTTGAAAGTAGGCTGGTTTAAAGAAATTCAGAGTGGCATATCAAACAGACACTTATGGCAATAAATTTTATAAATAGCTCATTCTAATAATAATATGAAAATATCTAAAACTTTTTTACTATGAGTGAATAAAGGTAAAAAAAAGTGGATGATTGTTATACATTCCTAGGATATAAAAATAAGAAAAAATTAATGGACACTATATATATAACCTTGTAAGTACTGTGTTTAAGATTTAAAGTAACTAAATCATTAAGTAATCCATATCACAAAGTTATATCTCTTGAGTAATAATAATTGAAGAATTTTGGAATCTAATACTGACCTGTCCAAGCTTGAGCACATCAATTCTCTACCTCAGTTTTTTCAACAGAATGGAAACCTGCCATTTTACATATAGAACAAAAATGGACTATTTTTGGAGGACCTTCTATAGAAACAAAGGGTCTCAAAACTGTTGATATTTCAGACTTTAACAAAATATGTTATCAGTATGATTTTCTCCATTCTTTTCTGTGTGATCAGCAATTCTAACTTTGCTAGTATTCTAGGCAGGACAAATTCAAAGAATTTATAGCTGTTCCCCAATTGCTATTATAATGACAGACATACTCTAGTCAAACAAATTCGCTTCCCTCTCTGGTCCAGGGAGGTTAAGGCAACTTAATCAAGGCCAACCTTATCTAGTTAAAGGTGGATTTGGAGCTTGAATCCAAATCTCCCAAATACCCAGAAAAACCCCACAAGCATTAGTATCGGTGTGAAACGATTATGTGTTAACAGCCTGAAGATGACAGTAAATTTCTTAGACCTTTCACAACACGTTGAACAGACAGGAAATACCACCCGGAAGACATTAGAGAAGATTTCTCAGTAGTTTTTTTGCTAATTTTGCTAGCCAATCTTAACTGTAAGACTACTGCAGTGAGGCCTGAGGGAAAATTGGCATTGGAGGTTCGTTCCAAGGGACAAAAGCTCTCTTTCTGAAATTTCTGTTCAGAGGCCCAGAATTTAAAATTAGTAGTAGGTAGTAAGTGCCCTTGCCTTTATTTAAGCCACATTTTGCCACCAGAAATAATATCCTTGGGAGTGATCAAGTCATGCACCTTTTCTCTATGTTACTTTCCTCTGATACTGCTTTTTTTTCTCATGTCCACATTTAAAGTTCTTCTTCAACAGCTTTACTCTGAGTGGCACTAGGAAACTACACATTTACCTTTCCACAATGGTATGAAAAAGAAATACCTTCCCGAAAAGACAGTAAGAGGTGCAAGGGACAAAGTCTCCTGGGGGACTCCTGGGCTGAGGTCCCCTGGATGTAAGGGCATCCCAGTTAGTTTCCTTCATGCTATAAAACGTCACTCTGGGCATTCCCCCCAAACCAAATTATGAAACTTACACCTGCTGTCCAAATCTTTCCTCTACCTTATTGTAAAATGAAAAGGACAATCACTGGTAAAGATGTTTTTAAAACGACGAAAGAATTGTCCAAAAGTTTTAAAGTACGATAACACTAAAATACATCAGACTCCGATCGTCACTCTCATTCTTGCACGACTTGCATTTAATCTAAGGTGCCCTAAAATGCCCCCAGGAATTCCTCCAGAGGGGTCAAGTTGGGGCTCTGGACAGCTGAACAGGTGAGGGTTCATACGGGTTCCCCGACTATCTCTGAAGCAACTTTCTGGGCAGGAAATCAGTCAAATTGTGATGAAAGCGAACGCGGGGAAGACGAGCCCGCGCCCCAACCCCCCGCGTGGCCGGGTCAAGCACTCAAGTCGGCGGAGGGGACCCGGGGGGACGCGCTCCCCTCGAGGGCCAAGCGGGGGGAGCGCGTTCTCCCGGCCAAGGCGGGGAGCTGGGTCGGGCCCGGGAGCAGACCCGCTGGACACACAGGGTCCCGCGGCAGCCCTGAGGGTCCCGGCTGCAGCTCTCAGGGCGCCGGGACGGGGCCGGCGCCGCTTACCTCGACGGCTGCGTGGGGACTCGGCGGAGCTCGGCTGGGACTCCGCGCGGGCGGGGCGCGGGCCGGCGGCGGGGCAGCGGCGGGGCAGGCGACGCGGCGCACTGGACTCCACCCGGGCTCAGGTCCGCCGCCTCGGGGAGGAAGTGGTGTCAGCCCTGCCCTTCCCACGCAGCGCGCAGACGTGAGGCGCCCGCCGCGCCGCTTTGCATGGAGGTGCCACGAGGGCGCTCGGTTCGAGACACGCACGGAGGAGGACGGGTGGATGCAGACTCTTGAAACTCGGGGACTGCTTTTTCCAACTAATCGGGTCTGTGCCTCGCTTCTACACCACACCCTCGAAAGTTGTTTTTTTAAATTCTGGGAAAAGTTGGGCCTTCCTCCCTCATCCCGCCCCTACGCGCGTCCCCTTCCCTCCGGAGCGTTCCCCAGCGAATTGAGCCTTCTCGGTCGCTCGCTATATTAGTGACTAAGGGATCTGGGGCCAGATGATGGCTCCAAAAAACCCGAGAACCTCATCTATTTTGCAACGGTCTTCCTAAGTGTTTACTTCAGCCCTTTGTGCGCTTCCTCTTTCGAGCCTGTTGAGCAAGGCCGGATCTGCCCGCCGCGCGCAGCCCACCCGCTGGGGACGCGGCGCGTGTGTGCGGAGCGCAGGGGGCCCCGCGCGTGCGCGCCTGCCCGCCCCTCCCCGCCCCCCGCGTGCGCGCCTGCCCTCCCCTCCCCCGCACGGGTCCGCAAGGACGCTGGTCCCAGTGGGAGTCCTGGGTGGGGTTGCGGGGTTGGAGGTCGGATGTGGAAGGGCGCGCTCCGCGCAGCGGGTGTCTCAACTCTCGGATGGCAACCCTCCCCTCCCCCCAAAGCTTAAGGACACTGAGTTGGCGCGGGCGAAACTGTGAAGAAACAGGCGCTCTGACACGTTGCCGGTGGAACTCCAAAACGGTACGAACCCGGTGGCGGCGAATTCGGCAACAGCTATTTAACTTGCGTAGGCAGTTACCCTTTGATCCAGAAATCCCACTTCTAAGAATGTATTACAGTGATGAAAAGAAGCAATGCATATACCCACGCCCATTCTTGGCCGCAGGATTTGTAATAGCAAAGGACTGACTGGACGTAGTCCGAGATTCTTTGGGAGTGGAGCCTCCTGGGAGAAAGTGGGGAGATCCGAAAATACAGAAGTTAGAAACAGTTTGTAAGTGGGATTGAATTTACCGCGTCTTCCCTATAGGGCCGTGTCTTAAAGGGCCTCCCCGCCGTGTGGGGAAGGAAGGTGGTGGAGAAGACCTAAAGACATACAGATATATTAGACACACACATCAGTTAGGTAAATTAAGATAGTTCAGCCATTTATTTAAGGAAAAACTATTAACTCATGTAAGAACAATAAAAATAGTTGTGAAGAAAATTCTTGCTGAGAAAGCAAGTTAATATTTACCATATTAAGTAACGTAAGTGTTTTGAAGGGAGTTAAAAGGTGAGAGTGATGGTAGTAGGCATGGAGCCTTATATTAATTAGGATCCTCAAGGAAGAGCTTTTTTGATAAGTGTTAGTTGAGCCAGACCTAAATGACATGAGAGATTCATTCATGTCGATTTGGGGATGAGAATGTTGAAAGGCTCTGGGTTAGGAAGGCACTTGAGATGTTGGGAAAACAGCAAGGAAGCTAGTATGGATGGAGCACAGTGACAGGGAAACAGGTGGTGTATGAGATCAAAGAGGAAATTGTGGCCAGATAATGTGTGGTCTTTCTGGCTATGGTCGGGACTTTACTCTGAGATAGGAAGCAGCCATTGGAAGGTTCTGAACATAGTACTATATGGAAAGTCAGGTGAAGCAATGGAGTGACTTTCACAGGAGAGGAAGAGGGCAGGCAATACCTCTTTGCAAAGTCATGAAAAGGAGAAGCCATTCAGAGGCTTGGAAACACATTCCAAGAGAAGACAGAGCAAGGAAAGGTCTTGAGATGGGAACATAGAAAGTTAGAAAGAGGGGCCGTGTGTCTAGCATACAGCAAAAAAAGTAGGGCATTGGTAACAGAAGGGGACAGAGAGGTAAGCAGGGACCACGTTAGGCAGTGGCTTGGGGTCAGCCTTGAGGACTTTGAGTTTTATTCTGATTGCAGTGGGGAGCCATTGGAAAGATTTTAGGAAGTAAGTACATGACTGGACTTCTGCTGTACGTCATCATGCTGGTTGGTGATTGGAAATGGATCGAATGGAGCAAGACAAAGGGCAGTGAGAGATCATTCAGTGGGCTGTGGCAGTAGTCCAGGTGAAAGATGATGGTGGTTTTGGTTAGTATCCTGAAGATGGGGATGATGGGAAGAGTTTGGATTCAAGATATGATTTCAGAGCAGAATCACCAATGTTTGCTGATGGGCTGCCACAGGAGTGGGAGAGTGGCAGAAGGGATTAGGAATTGAGTGTAAGCCAGTGTGACTGGAGTCCTGAGAGCTCTGGTGTGAGGCAGGGCTAGACGAAGAAAGGTCAGTAGGGAGAGACCATGTAGGACCATGTGGACCATGTTGAAGGTTGTTTTCTCATCTTAAAAGCAATGAGATTGTGTTAAGAATACTTTAAGCTGGCAGGATTCATGTTTTAGGAAAATCACTTTGGCTATCGTTTGGGGAATTGACCAGATGAAGAGAAGAATGGGTGCAGGAAGATTTCTGAGCGAGGCTGGCTGAGAGATTTACAGTGGTTTGGACTAGATTGGTGACAGTGGAAATGGAAAGAAATGGATGGACCTGAGAGATATTTATAAGGTAGTTGATAGGAGGCAGTGATGACTGGATTTGAACAGAGTGAGGAAGAGGGAGGAGCCAAGGATGACCACTAAGATGCAGACTTGGATAATGATGGATGTCATTGCCGTTCAATGAGATGAGGAACTCTGGTGGGTGCAGGGGGAGACTGGGGGAGGGGAAGATAGTGAGTTTTATTTTTGAACAAGTTGAGTATGATAAACTTTTGAGACGTGTGAGTGGAGACCTCACGTAGAGAGATGTGTAAGGGGCTGATGCTCAGAGTGTGGTTTACAGTTAGAGATACACAGGTTGGCTAATCTACCCACAGGTGGCCATTGATGAGATAGATGGCTTAGAAGTGAGTAAGATGAGAAAAAGACCTTATGCTAAGCTTTAAGGAATGTCATCATCAAAGTAGAGGAAGTTGAGCCTGAAAAGGAGACAGAGGGAGAGCTCTGATGGGGTGGGAGGCAAACCAGGAGAAGGTGGTGTTGAGGAATTCACAACAGTGGGAGTGTGCAGCCATGTCTGGGGCTGTTAAGAGTAATATAAGATGAAGATCAAGACGTACCCATTAACTTGAGCCATATCAATGATCACAGAGATGTATTATTTTAAATGTTTATTTATTTTGAGAGAGAGAGAGAGCTGGGGAGGGGCAGAGAGAGAGGGAGAGAATCCCAAGCAGACTCCATACTGCCACTGCAGAGCCCCAGGCAGGCCCTGATCTCACAAACTGTGAGATCATGACCTGAGCTGAAATCAAGAGTCAGGCGCTCAACCAATTGAGCCACCCAGGCACCCCACAGAGACCTATTTTTAATAGCATGTTGGGGCTGGAGGCCAGATGGGCTAAGGAGTGAATAGGTGAGCAAAATAACCCTTCTGAGTAGTTTGCCTGTAAAGAGGAGAAGGATAGGGAGGTAGAGAGTCAGGCATGTGAAATTGAGGAAGATTTTATTTTATTTTTTTAAATGGTTTTCAAGTAGGAAGAAACCAGATGAGATTGAAGGATTAAATATTAAAGAGAGAGTAGAAATGATGGATGGTGAAAAGTTTTCGAGTTCTTTTTTTCTTTGTAATTGAAATATAGTTTATAATATTATATTAGTTTCAAGTGTACAACATAGTGATTTGACAATTATATACATTATGAATGCTCACCATGGTAAGTGTAGTTGCCTTCATTACCATATGAAATTATTGCTATATTATTGACTATATTCTCCATGCTGTACTTTTCATCCCTGCGACTTATTTAATTTATAACTGAAAGTTTGTACCTCTTAATTCCCCTCACTGATTTTGCCTGTCCCCCCAACCTCCTCATCTCTGGCAACCACCAGTTTGTTCTCTGAATTTGTGAGTCTGTTTCTGTTTTTTGTTCATTTGTTTTGTTTTTTAGATTTCACATATAAGGGAAATCATATGATAATTGTCTTTCTCTATTGGACTTATTTTACTTAGCATAATACCTTCTATGTCCATCTGTGTTGTTACAAATGGCAAGACTTCATTCTATTATATATATACACTGTATCTTCTTTATTCATTTATCTATTGATGGACACTTAGGTTGTTTCCATATCTTGGTTATTGTAAATCATGCTGCAATAAACATAGGGGTGCATATATCTTTTCAAATTAGTGTTTACTTTTTCAACTGGTAAATACCCAGAAGTAGAATTACTAGATCATATGGTATTTCTTTTTTTAATTTTTTGATGAACCATCATACTGTTTTCCAGAGTGGTTGCACCAGTTTACCTTCCCACCAACAGTTCACAAGGGTTCCTTTTCTCCACATCCTCATCAAACTTGTTATACCTCCTCTTTTTGATGCTAGCCATTCTGACAGGTGTGAGGGGATATGTCATTGTAGTTTTGATTTGCATTTTCCTGATGATTAGTGATGTTGAACATCTTTTCATGTGTCTGTTGGCCATCTGTAATTCAGGTCCTCTGCCAATTTTTTAACTGCATTATTTGTTTTGTTGGTGTTGAGTTGTATGAGTTCTTATATATTTTGGATATTAATCCTTTATCATATATATCATTTGTAAATATATTCTTCCATTCAGTAGCGTGCCTTTTGGTTTTGTTGATGGTTTCCTTCACTGTGCAAAAGCTTTTAGTTTGGTATAGTTCCAATAGGTAATTTTTGCTTTTGTTTCCCTTGCCTGAGGAAACAGATCCAGAAAAGTATTGCTATGGCCAATATCCAAGAGTTTACTCCATATGTCTTCTAGGAATTTTATGGTTTCAGGCTTCACATTTATGTCTTTAAT